TAAAATCTTCCACATTTTCAGCCCTGAATCAAAAATAACAAAACAATCTGGAAAGTGTCCAAAAATAAGGTAATATAAATATTTCTGAAATCTTTATTTTACACTATATAAACTAAATATTTTTAACTTCTTTAACATTTACATTTACTAACTTTTTTTAACCTTCATGTCTTGCAGTTGAAAAAAACAAGATGAGAGCGCAGGATAATAGCAATGTATTTGACTTTCTACATATGTATATACGCATGATATATTTTAAATAATAATATTGTATATATATATATGTAAATATATTTATAAAAATTTCAAATCTCTCATGTGATACAACACTTTATTCCGCAGCAAAGCGAAGAGTACATGCTCGTTGCTTCTAAAATGGAAGAATGAACAAATAAAGAGAACGATTTTTTTTTTTGATGGTATAAATAGAACGATTTAGAAATCAGAACAAACGGAAAATTAGCCTTGAACGGCATAGAAAACTCTACGCCAAACCCAAATATTAAAATATGCATGATAATTTGTTATAATATATTAAGATAAAATCATTTTAGTACCTTTTGTTATAGTGAAACATGCTATTAGTATCCTGTATTTTTGATAATATTAAAACGGTATCTCGACGTTTTTAAAAATATCTTTTTGGTAGCGTGAAGTTGATTTTTAAGATGTAAGATGACATTACTTTTTTTCTAATTAATTAATCAATAATTAATAGATTTAAAAAAAAATTATGAACTCTTTTATTTTGTTGTTTTCTTTTAAATATTTTAATGTTTTAAAATATTTTCAGATTTAAAAAAAATACTTATTTCTATTTAATTGATAAGAAGGGTTGTTTGGACATCACCTATCTTAAAAATTAACTTTAGAGTATTGAGAAGATGTTTTAAAAAAAGTCAAGATGTCATTTTATTATTATAAAAGACGCAGGGTACTAAGAGCATATTTCACTATAATACAATGATTTTATCCTTAAAATATTTATTTTATATATATATATATTAAATATTATGGGAAGTTGGTATCAGATCAGTGGAGAGGATTTGATGTTTTTAATTTGTGAGTAGTCTTCTATATCCAACTCTGTTTACTGCTAACCACGTAACCACTACTATCCTCTCTACTTAGCATCAGAGCCATGTGGTAGTGAATATGTTTTTTTTTTTCCTTTTATTAAACATTTAATTACCCCATAATGATATGTTCATTTTTGTAATGATAAATTCATTTGCATAATGAATTTTTTTTTATTCACATTGAACATAGCATGACCACATAATGATATGTGGTATTGACATGTTCATTTTCCACATTGCATATATATTTTTTTTTGTGCATAATGAATTTTTTATTGCACATTTTTTTAATTATTTTATTTGTAGAGGGTAAAATCTATAATTGATAAGATCAAGGGCTAATGACCGAGTTAGGAGTCATCAATTAGTAAATTGCCCTGCTGTTAGAACGAGAGCATTAGTAAACATGAAAATAAAGAAAAGTAGTAAAAAGACACAAAAACTTATAGTGGTTCATCTGGTAACTCATGGTACGTCCACAGTAGGGCTCTAGTGGTTTCACTATGTATGCTGAAAAAGCGTTACAATAAGTCGTTAAGAGAAGAACCGGATGAGAGAGAGTGGGGAATGCCGGAAAATACAGAAAAATAGTGGGAAAATATTGCTGGAGATGTGTTTTTGTGCTTAGAGGCCTCCCTAAGAATGTCTGAACACCTTGTATTTATAGTTGAAGAGGCAACACAAGTTGTTTCCTGATTCCTTGAGTGATTTTGCCTTCAATTCGTGATATTCCCTTCCTTCTTAGGCACCATATAACTTTCCCTAACTGATTCTCCTCGCAATTGGCCGATCATGCATGAATTGTTGCCCTTTTGGAGTTGATCTGACATCTTTATTGTGTAGCTACTGGAGATTTAGTTTCCTTATGTGGAAGACAATCAATTTCGTCCAGTGAGAAGGTTTCTTGCGGCTTATGTTGACCGCTGACCTTTTTCCTCATTAATTCCTCTATCTTGAGCAATTGATTTCCTTCCTTTTCTGTGTAATCTAGTTGCCAAATTCTGTATAAAGACGATCTTGAGGATATTCTCTCATTTCTTAATGCCTAAGATTGTTCGTCGACTTGCAGGATTGACCAGTTGACAAGTCATTTTAACATGTTCAAAGAGTCGTGGTGAGTCATTTAATAACCTTCTAAAACCTAAATTGCCACATGAACGGTGAGAAATAAAATACGAAATCTGATCATTCATTATCATAAAACTTCTATTCTTTATAATAATACTTGTAGTTGTACTTTTCTACACCTGTGTTATTATTATTATTGTTGTTATTGTTATAATTATTTCCTTCAGTATCATATAACTTATTTTCTTTATAATAATGCTAATTGTATAATCACTTTTATGCACTTATGCGTTTATTATTACTATGGCTGTTCTTTTATACACAACCTTCATTTTTATCGTGATTTTTTTAATATATTGAACATAGCATGAACATATGATGATATGTGGTAATGGCATGTTCATTTTCATAATGATAATTTCATTTTCATAATGAACATATGAAATGTAAATTATCAGTATTAAACATATCATTATTATAAATTAAAACAATTACACGTACATTAATTTTACAGATTTAATTATTAATTACAATTATTATTATGATAATGCCTATTCTCCTATTGCATAATGATATCTCTATTTAAATAATGAAAATGCTAATTGTTAAATACATTTTCGTATTTTTTATGTATTACAAGTTCTATTCATGAAAATGCGTATTTATTTGTATATTATCATGTTTCTTCTATATTTTACTTATGATATTCATTTAGATATCTTCCATAATATAACAACTTACTAGAGATGATTGTCATTTTGTTATGAACTGTTATATTCGTTCTCGTCTGTAATGATATCATCATTATAGCGATGAATATCTTTATTTATGGATGTATTATAGTTGTTTTAAATTTCTTACAAATATTTATTTTTAGTCTGCTTTATAATGATATCTTTATTAAAATAATAAAAATACTTATTTTTAATACAATTTAGTGTTTCTTATGTTTTACAAATTATTTTATAATAATATTATCATTATGTTAATGAAAATGCATATTTATATATACATTATCGTGTTTCCTCGTATTTACAGATTGTGTAGTCCCTATTTTTAGAAATATCAGGTTTTTTCACTGTGCTTCATGATGTTTTTAGTGTGCCTCTAAGGCATGTTACATCAGCAAATTTCTAAAACATAAAGACAGAAGTGGACATCTTGAATTGTTTTTTAAATATTGGGGTTCTTTTGAACGGTTTTGAAAAATTGAGGGAAGTTTAAAAAGCGGTCCATATTTTGAGGGCATATTTATGAAAATAATCTAAAGAAAAAAAAAAAAGAAAAAAACACCCCGGAGTTGGAAGAAGTATTAGGGCTGGCTGCTTCTTCGCCTCAAACTCCGGCGGGTCCTCCCTTCTCAACTTCTGGTAATGATTTGCTTGTGTAAAATTTTTTTTTTCATTTGTTTGATTCAAAATTAATTGTTTCTTGCTTTGGACTCTCTCTCTCTCTCTCTCTCTCTCTCTCTCTCTCTCTCTCTCTCTCTCTCTCTCTCTCTCTGTTTGTTTTTTTTGGGTTACTCTTATGTCTGTTTATTGAGATGAAATTGAATGTTTCTCTGGATTTGTTCAATTTAGTTTCGGGAATTAAATTACTTAAATGAAGTACCAAATCCCGTTATTAACTAATAAGTAATTATTATTATGATGAACAAATATGGTTTATTTAATTATTGGTTGCTGAACAAATGATATACTATGATCTGTAATGGTTTCTTATTATGCTGGCTGTGAATTACTGTTTCTATGAACTTCTTCTATGATCTTCAAATTTTTTTCTGTGATATTTTTGTTGGCCGTGAACTGCTGAAATAAGTGTCTGATCATGTTTTATTTCTGTATGATTCATAATTGGTTTGATTTATGCTCTTCTTAGGTATCTAATGTTATTTCTTTGATGGGTTGACTTGAATGTTTCCAGATCTTAACGAGTTTGATCAAAGAACTGGGTTGTAATGATGCCAGAAATCTTCAATTCAGCGATTAGTTTATTCGAAAAAGAATACGGACAACATTGAGCAATTGTTTAGTAAGTTACTGCAACAAGCTGAATATGAGGAGATTGAAGATAGATTTCTAGTTGACCATTGTATTTTTCTTAGAGAATAGAAGATGACCAATTTGGAAAATATTACTACAATTAGAAGTGTTTTCACTTGGATAGATGCTTCTTACTAAATTACGGCAAAGTTTGGTGCATTGGTGATCGTAATAGTGATAATGAACGTGGAAGTAGAACAAGATGCTATTGCGTGCTAAAGTTATGGACATACTAAGAGCTCATTAACCGTCCTTAAACCTTTCACTTTAATGTTGTCTACTCTATTTCTTAGATCCCATGGAGTTGGACTTCAGCAGAAACTATCAGCTATTTCATCCCTTAATTCTTTCTTGTACACCTCCCTACATTCTCTGTTCTCTCCCAAAACATTTAGTTCAAACTCTTATCATGATTATTTGTCTGCTGGCCCCTCTTCCTCCTCCTCCTCCTCCTCTTCTTCTTCGTCGCTATCATCATCCCAGTCTCTTATTAGAACAGTTTGTTCATTGGTCTTTGAATCTTATTACCAACATGGCCATGGAAGACAATCTCCTCCCAAGCTAATCCTTAATGTTGATACTGATTCTTTAACCCATGAACAGGCTATAACTGTTGTTGCTTCACTAGCAGATGAGGGAGGTTCCATGGTTGCATTGAGTTTCTTTTATTGGGCTATTGAGTTCTCAAAGTTCCGCCATTTCATGCGACTGTACATTGTTTGTGCTATGTCGTTGATTGGTAATGGGAATTTGGAGAGAGCCCATGAAGTTATGCAGTGTATGTTGGGGAGTTTTGCTGAAATTGGAAGGTTGAAGGAAGCAGGTGATATGATTCTTGATTTGCAAAACCAGGGTCTTATGCTGACCACACACATTTTGAATAGTGTCGTTAGGATTGCATGGGAAATGAATTCAATTGAGTACGCAGAGGAGATGTTTGAGGAAATGTGTCAAAGAGAGGTCTCTCCTGATCCTTCCAGTTATAAATCGATGGTCGTTGGTTATTGTAGGATTGGTAGAGTTTTGGAGGCAGACAAGTGGCTGAGTGAAATGCTTGATAAAGGCTTTGCTGTGGATAATGCAACATTAACTCTAATTATTAGTACATTTTGCAAAAAGGGTTTTGCAAATCACGCACTTTGGTTTTTCAATAAGATGATTGGGATGGGTTTGAGTCCTAATTTAATAAACTACACATCTTTAATCAATGGGTTGTGCAGGAGGGGCAGTGTAAAGAAAGGATTTGAAATGCTGGAGGAAATGGTTAGTAAGGGTTGGAGACCTAATGTTTATACGCATACAGCATTGATTGATGGTCTCTGTAAGAAGGGATGGACTGAAAAGGCTTTTAGACTATTTCTTAAGCTTGTCCGGAGTGACAACTACAAGCCTAACGTACATACTTATACTAGTATGATCAGCGGATATTGCAGGGAGGAGAAGATGAATCGTGCAGAGATGTTGTTCAGCAAAATGAAAGAACAGGGATTGGTTCCAAACACCAATACTTATACTACTCTCATCGATGGCCATTGTAAAGCTGGAAATTTCAAAACAGCATATCAGTTGATGGATTCCATGAGAGTTGATGGTTTTGCTCCTAATATTTATACATACAATGTGGTAATGGATGGCCTATTGAAGAAGGGTAGGATCCCTGATGCTCATAAACTGATGAAGAAGGCATCTTGGGACGGAGTACGTTCTGATATAGTCACTTATACCATTCTAATATCTGAGCACTGCAAGAAAGGTGAGACTACGGATACGGGAGCCCTAATGCTTTTCAATAAGATGGTTAAAGTTGGAATCCAACCTGATATACACTTGTATACAAGTTTGATAGCCTTTTTCTGCAGGCAGAAAAGAATGGCAGAAAGTGAGAGATTCTTCGAGGATGCCATAAGGTATGGCTTGGAACCAACAAAAGAAACTTATACATCTATGATCTGCGGTTACTGTCGGGATGAAAATGTTGCCATGGCGTCAAAATTTTTCCGCAGAATGACTGGCCATGGTTGTATACCCGATAGTATTGCTTATGGTGCTCTAATTAGTGGGCTTTGCAAAGACGAGAGGTTGGATGACGCTCGCAGGTTGTACGACACCATGGTAGACAAAGGACTGTCACCTTGTGAAGTTACAAGGGTTACATTAGCTTATGAGTATTGCAAGAAAGAAAACTTTTCTGCCGCTATGGCTATCTTAGAAAGGCTTGACAAAAGGCTTTGGATCCGCACTGTCAATACCTTGATCAGGAAACTCTGCAACAACAAGAAAGTTGGCATGGCGGCATTGTTCTTTCACGAGTTGGTGGGCAAGGATCGTAACGTCGACCGTGTAACATTGGCCGCATTCACGACAGCTTGTTATGAGAGCAACAAGTATGCTCTTGTTTCTGAATTGACCGAGAGGATTGGTAAATATGGTTTGGCTGCCCGATGTAATGAAACTGGTTCATTGTAAGGTAAGAATTGTGCTGCACTTGTTTTTCTAGCTTTATTTTCAGCTCAAAAATGGTAACGTTTTCATTTATCCACGAAAAAAAAAGAGTTGGTAACATTTTTAAGCAAAAACTCAAGAGTGCGCTGCAAATCTAGATGCTTGCGTGGTAATTTCCCTTGTACTGTCCAGCTCAAATGGGTAATATTGGGAAGAAATTTTTTTTTTTCCTTCTTGTCATTAAATAAGCATCTTCAGAAACAAAGTTTATTTATTTATTTTATTTATATTTTTTTAAGGAAAGAAACGAAGCTTGGTGTATGTACAATGGTTCGCTAATAAGCAAGCATCTTTCAAAAACGAAAATAAAAGATGGATCAAAAGAAGAGAGAGAGAAGAATTGAGAGGATAGTAGAAGAATCTCGTCTTATATTATTATCTTATAATAAACAAGGGAGATTCTCTTATAAATCAGTAAGTTAAGTTTTTTTAACTATTGAATTTATATATTTTTTAATTTTTATGTGATTTTATTTAAATTTAACAGATAAAAAATCTGACCAATTAACATATTAACGTACCTGAGAACGTCTAAAAAATAAATCTAACTTATAAGAAGAGGGAATAACTTTTGTACTTCAACCTTTCATGAAACTAGTCCAATGATTTAAACTTAATTTCTTTTCACTTAATTAAAATCTAACGGTTTTAAGTTTTGTCCACGTGTGGCCTTTCTTTCACACCACATACTTCACTTACTATTCATGTTTTCTTTTTGTCTGTCTTTTAACTTACTGCTAATGCTTTGTACGTGCAATCCCTCTTTCTTTTCTTTTCTTTTCTTTTTCACAATTCCATGCTTAATTATGTATTAAACTTAATTATAACCATTATATTTTTATTTTCTTTATTTTCACTTTCTAATAATTTTTTTTGCTTAATTATTTGCTTGTGCCCCCATTATTTGAGGTTTAGTCTCCATCGATTGGGTTAATCCATCGATTATAGTAGTTTTGTTAAACGAGTCTTGGTCGCGCTCAATCTTTATATGCTGAGTTGATCTTTTTTCTTGAGTCTCAGTACTTGTGTTTTTCTTTTCTTTTGCTTCATTCATCTTTACTAGTAGATAAAATCAATGTTCGGGACTGGAATTTGTAAGCGGTGTTTACTTCTGACAAGTTTGAGTATGTAATTTGTTTTAATAAAATGAAAATTTTCCCAAAAAAAATAAAATAAATTACTGGAACAACCTAGCTTTGACCTGATTCAGGAAAAAATTCTCAATTTAAAAATACATTGAAACTATGGGTACTAAAAAGGGAGTTACTAAAATCTCCCGGATTGGATTGATTTCACAAGTGGAAATTGTAATGATTAGAAAGTATTCTTTCTAGTCGTCAGCCTAGGAAAAGAAAAATTGGATAGAATCCTATAGGATTTCCCGTTTCATAATCTAACGTGACAATTCCCAAGGTACAAATCAAATAGATAAAAGAAAAAAATTTTCTTGCAATTATTTAAATTGATCATAAATAATGTTATTTTAATTTTGTAAATTTATTATTAACGCGCCACGGTAATTGTACTTATTAAAGCGGCTAAAAGAATTATTAAGATGAATTCAAATGGAAGAAAAAAATCTGTTGATAAATGAATTCCAATTTGTTGACTATTACTTATCAAATCGTGCTCTATAATCTAGTTTGATCTTGTAGTCCAAATAATCTCGTACCATGATATATCCGTAATAGTAATTATCAGTAGCACAGGTGATTCAGTAGCACAGGCTGCAATAAAGGCTCGGTGTCATTATGTTAATAGAAAATGGCTTGGTGGTATGTTAACGAATTGGTATACTACAGAAACGAGACTTCATAAGTTCAGGGATTTGAGAACGGAACAAAAAACAGGCAGACTCAAACGCCTTCCGAAGAGAGATGCGGCTGTGTTGAAGAGACAAATATCTCACTTGCAAACATATCGACAGTCGCCAGCCAGTGATATCTTATTGCGGATGATATTTGTGACTTGTGCATCTTACAATTCTCGATCAGGAACTATATTATAGTTTGTACATTATACGCCACAGTTGAAATAAATTTTAGTGTTATTATATATGTTTCTTCGCCTGTATAATTCTTCAGATTACATCCATCCAGGTACCAAATTATAGTCGCTGACTCGCTATGCCTAAACTTACTAGAGAAACTTTTGACACAAATAGAATAGCTTTCATGTTTTACGTGCATTGGCACAAAATTTATTCTCCAGATTATTTTGCAAAATCACAAATAAAATATTCATATTATTAAATACTTTGCTGGTGCTATCAATATATATATGTATATATATATATGTATATATATATATATATTTATTTTTTCCGACAAACTATTTTTGTCCATAAAATAGAAAGCTTTGACAATAAGATATCCTTCTCGACAGTGCATGTTTGTAAACATCTTATCAAAATTATATCAAAATAAAAATGTGTGTAAGACTAACAAATTTAAAACAAGTTGATGGTATGAAATAAAACCCTACATCTTCGGCCAAAAAAAAAAAAAAAAACCATATGGTATTTTTTTTCACCCCACTGTAGAATTCTCGTCAAAATATTCGTTTCTAATGAAAGCATTCCCATGACAAGTGTTCGTGGTAAAAAAAAATGATGAATCACAAATAAATCTTAAAAATTGAGAGGAGAAAATAAAAATATGGTACATGTAAAATGTGGTGCAGAATGTGATGCAGAACGTGGTGTTCGTTCTCTTATATAAAGGAAGTGAGTGAGTGCAGAAAAAAAAGGAAAAAAACTTTTGAGAGAGCTTTCTTGAAGACTTTGTGCGTGTGCAGGAGAGAGTGCAGAAGGGAGGTGAGAGAAAGAAAGAGAAAAAATGTGCGAAAGAAAGAAGAAAAAAATGAGGAAAAAAAAAAAAAAAAAAAAAAAAATGGGAAAAAAAAAAAAAAAAAAAAAAAAAAAAAAAAAAAAAATATATATATATATATATATATAGAAAGCTGTGTGCAGTGGTGTGAAAACGTGAGAAGAGAGAAAGGAAAAAAAGAAAGTGCAGGTGTGTGCAGTTGTGGGAAAACGTGAGGAGAAAGAAAAAAAAAGGTGCGCAGGTGTGTGTGCAGAGAAGTGAGAGAAAAAAATATACATCGTGATATTTTAAAACAATAAAGTAAATACATATTTTGATGGTGCGAATAACACATATGATGAGTGGGGAGGACACAAGCTTGTTGTCGACGCTTTCAGCAGGTAGTGGAAAAAACTCCTCCGTAGATGGACCCTCGTATGGCTTAAGAGCATAAATATGAAAGACAAGATGAATTTTGCACCTCATGGGTAAAGCTAGCTTATAAGCAACAGGACCAATGCGGTCAGTGACTGAGAACGGGCCGTAATAGCGCTTAGCCAACTTATGTGACGCTCGGCGAGCTACCGTCGACTGGCGGTAAGGCTGGAGGCGAACAAGGACCTTGTCTCTGACAGCCAAGTGAAGGTCCCTGTGGTGAGCATTGGCTTTCTGCTCCATTCGGTGTTGTGCTTGGCGCAAATTGTCTTTCAGAGAACGCAGTAAGACATCCCGTTCTACAAGAGCCTCGTCCAAAGCTTGTATTGAAGTAGAGCCCTGAGAATATGCCGGAATGGATGGTGGAAGGCGCCCGAACAGGGCCTTATAGGGGGTCATCTTAATAGCACTGTGGTAGCTAGAATTGTAACAGAACTCGGCCCAGCCAAGGTAGGAAATCCACGAGTTGGGTTTTTCCTGAGTGAATGCTCGCAAGTATTGCTCGAGGCCGCGATTGACCACCTCCGTTTGGCCGTCCGTCTGCGGATGGTATGCCGTGCTATGCCAAAGAGAGGTGCCACTCAATTCAAACAATTTCTGCTAAAAATTACTCAAAAATATGGGATCTCGGTCCGAGATGATCGAGCTAGGGAAGCCATGAAGCTTAACAACTATGTCAACAAACAACGTCGCTGTCATTGCAGCTGTGAACTGGGCCGGCAATGCCCCGAAATGGGCTAATTTGGTGAGCCGATCCACCACCACCAGAATTACTGCCAGGCCTCGGGACAACGACAAGCCCGTAATGAAGTCCATGGTGACCTTATCCCAAACCAACGAAGGAATGGCCAGGGGTTGTAACAACCCAGCTGGGGCCTGGGTGGAATACTTTATTTGCTGGCATATCAAGTAGGAAGCAACGAAGTTTTCCACATCAACATGCATTTTGGGCCAATAGAAGGCCGAGGCAAGACGTACTAAGGTGCGCTTGATTCCAGCATGGCCGGCCATACGAGTTGCATGGAACTCATAGAGGAGAATATATTTCATGGTCGAGGCGGGACTGACATAATAGCGATTTTGATAAAAAAAGGAGACCATCATGAACCGAGTAGGCTGAAGGCAGGGAACCGGCCTGAGCTTGTTGATGCAAGGACACCAAGTCAGAAAGCATGGCATTCTCAGTTCGTAATGTCATCAATACATCGCAGGTGGGACAGCTGGACAAGGGCAAGCAAGCCACTGTTGATGGAACAGTGGACATGCTGTCATCTTCAAAGACCCGAGATAAGGTGTCAGCGGCCTGATTGGTACGGCCCGGTTTATATTTGATCCGGAATTGGAAGCCCATCAACTTGTGGATATAAACTTGTTGGTCCGGGGAGTGAAATACTTGTTAGAAGAGTTCTTTAATGCTCTTATGGTCTGTGCGGATAACAAAGAAACGTCCAAGGAGATATTGTCGCCACTTAAGGATAGCTTCCGCGATGGCATGCAGTTCTTTGATGTAGGTCGACGAGACGCGTAACCGCAGGCCTAACTTTTTGCTGAAGTAGGCAACCGGATGTCCCTCCTGCATGAGGACAGCCCCTATGCCAATGTTTGAAGCATCGGTCTCAATGACGAAGTCCTTGTCAAAATCGGTAAGCGCAAGACCGGTGCCTCCACCATAGCCCGCTTAAGAGCTTCAAAGGCGCCCGTTGCTGTTACGGTCCAAGTAAAAGCATCCCTGCACAACAAATTAGTGAGAGGGGCAGCAAGGGTCGCATAACCCCAGATGAAGTGCCGATAATACCCTGTAAGACCCAAAAAACCCCGGAGTTGTTTTATGGTCTTAGGTGTAGGCCAAGCCACCATGGCCTCAATCTTTTAAGGATCCGCCTGTACCCCACAAGCAGATACAATATGGCCCAAGTAATCGATGGTGCCCTGACAAAAGAGACATTTAGACAA